TGCTGTTTTTTGTCTTCCATTTGAACATCCGAACTGATATCAATTGACAATAATTTATCAAACTCCTATTAAGCATGTAGATACCAAGAATACTTTAAAAAAATCCATCAATCAACACTCTAAAGTAATTAATTTTCCACTATACACGATTAAGTAAATTTCCAACAAATTCTCTAATGCAAAATAAAAATATGATTTAATATTTGAGTAATCGTTCCAAAAAATCAACTAATATGAAGAAAAATCACCAACAATTGACAAAAACGAGTTTTTAAAATCAAGAAATACAAAGAAATTATCGTACAACTTTTTAATTGTAGCTAGTTCATGTAACTTATAGTTAAATGCATTCATCGACTCCATTGACGGACCATCAAAATAAGTCTTCTGCAATTCCATAAAGGGCAGCCAAATCAAAATCTAACCCAACTAAAAACAAGATATAGGACATTTTAAGTCTAAAAACTATCAATAATGCTATTTGTAATTTTGTATAGCTTAAAATTTTATTTTTTTTTCAAAAAAGAAAGAAAGAAAATCATATCAGGAGGAAGCTTACGATTAGTAAATGGAAAATCTATGATCCAGTGAGCTGAAATGGAAAATCCAAAACTCGCCAAAGAAAAGCCGGAAATTGTTGAGAAAGAAAAGATTCAAAGAAAAATTGAATGGAAGAGTCTAAGTGTCTGTATGTCTGAGAGAGAGAAGATAACTATGTTAGTGATTGACACCTAGTAAATAAATATATTATAAATTCTTTAAATTATAAAGAGTCAAATATGAATTGTTGGGCAGCTTGGGGCTTTAGGAGTTGGGCTAACAAAAAAATAAATTGTGGAAATTTTAGGAATCCATAGATTTCAAGATCTCAAATCAGAGGTTATGTTTACTAATTCAAAAATCAGAGATTTTTTAATTAACTAATATATAAATAAATATTTTTACTAAATATAACAATTCAAAAAATAATTAAATAACCCTACACAATTTCAAACCTATCTCTCTTTCTTTCTCTCTCTCTCTCTAACCTTTTTGCCATCGTCGTCTCTCTATCCTCTCACAGGCGATGAGGGGTCGCACATGGCGCGCGCGTGGGATTTTTGGAAAGGATCGGTGCCGGTCAATAGCGCGGCACAGATTGGCTATGGATCGAGAGATGCGATTGCTCGCAGCAAATCACCATTTTTTCTCTATTCACAGGTGGTTGTGATTGTAGTTTTGGTTGTTGTTGTTGATTGTTGGGATCCGATAATATCTTTGGTGTGTGTGGGATTCCGATGGCACAGGTGGTGAAGTGGTAGTGATGGCGAGTCATATTCAAGCGAGATAAAGGACAGGGTAGAGTGTTACAGATTGAGAACCTGTAGATCTAGTATTTGATTCTTTTGATCTCGTCTCACCAGGGTTGTAACATGGAGATGGTGGTGGTGGATGGGGGTTAACTGGTGGTCGTGTTGACAGCGGGGATGCGGTATGGGTGGTGGTGGTGGGTGACTGTAATAATTTTTTTTTGCGATGGGCTGATTTGTTTGAGGTGGTGGTGGCAGCAGCGACGGTGTGACGGTGAGGTGGTGTCAGCTTGCAAGCAGTTGAGGCGGTGTTTTTTTTTTATGGTGGTGGTGCGGGGGGCAATTGTTTAAATCTGTGGTGTGATTAGTGACCAAGATCGGTGGTAGGGTGTTTAGTGTATGTGACCAACTATTTTGACTAATTGTGACATTGAAATTCGATAATTTCTGACTAAAAATTAATCCGCGACCAATAAATTTGAAAATATGTCACTGATAGATAAGTGTGACCTCTAATTTTTTGATCTGTGACCAATAAAATAATCCGTGACCTATAAAATTTTTGATTCGTGACCGATGAATAATCTGCGACCTATAAAATTTTGCTTCGTGATTTTTGAATTGTCTTTAAAATGAGTTGTGACCAATAAAATTTTTGATTTGTGACCGATGAATAATCCGTGACCTATAAAATTTTGCTTCGCGACCGATTTGTAATGAATGAATTGTTAAGGTCACGGTTCCCTGATCACAAATTTGAGTTCATAAGTCAATCATTTTTTATTGGTCACGATCAATATAAATAAGTCACAGATCAATATTAACAAGTCACATGTTGTTTTGTAGAGTCACGGTTCAAATTTACATGTCACATTTCATATTACTAGTCACAAGCAACAATCAAGAGTAAAAAATCATGTCAATCGTACAAAAAAATATGATGGAGTTGTCGTCGGAATATTCGCCGGAGTTGGAACAAGTGTTGAAATCGGAGCATTCGCAAGAACAAATCGGCACCGAAAACTTCGCCAGAATCGGAGCAATCACCGGAACAGTCGCCGGAATGGTAGAAGTGGTGGATGTGGGGTGGGTTAATATATATGTATGTATGTATATGTTAAATATCCGATTTTAGAAATTTGAAAGTTGTTTTCTTGTTTTTGAAATAGTATATAGTAAAAAATTTTCCCAAATAAATTTAAGGATAATAAAGCCCGAATGTTGGGCTAACAAAGTTACAAAAAATTAATTTGACGGGATTAATTTGCTAATTTGTTTAAAAACTTAAAATAATTTAATTAATTTAATATAAAAAAAATATTTAGATTCAGATCTTATTCGGTTCTTCGATTTTTGGTTTAGAATCGAGAATCGACCCAAACCCGTTGATTTTCAATTCGGGTACCCGTTCGGGTATTTAACTTATGAAAAACCACTCGGTTCGAAACTTTTGTCCAGTCCTAGGGGATATGTGGTTGAAAAAAAAAGAAAAATTATTGATATAATGAAAAATATTATTTTATGGAAAAATCTTTTATTGAAAATGAACACAAATAATGGGCTCAAATAAATTTGAAAGGAGAGAAGAAAACATACGAGTTGAGAAATCAATTTGAGCAACCATTACCTAATTCTTCTTTTTTCCTTTTCCTTTTCAATTTCGTTTTGGTTCGTGATCTTTGACTAATTTATAGTTTATACAACAATTTCCCCAAAAGTATAAAAAATTACCCTCTAGGGTTCCTTGTTAACTCATCCCCAATCCCTGTAATTTCTTGGCAAAGGAAGCTCCTTTCGCTATTATCAATGGCGGATCGGACCAACAATAGCAGCAACAGCAATCCAGCAACTGCCGTAGCCAAGCCGATATGGATGAAGCAAGCTGAGGAAGCCAAGCTGAAGAATGAAGCCGAGAAAGCCGCCGCCGCCAAAGCCGCTTTCGAAGCCACCTTCAACAAAAATTTCCAACAACCTGAGCATCCACAATCTCCTTCCGGCGTTTCGTCGTCTGATTCAGATTCTGAGGAAATATATCGGGATAGTAACCGGCCGGCAGGGCCAGTGGACCCTGCAAAGTGCACGGCGCAAGGGGCTGGTATTGCGGGCGGGTCGGCTTGCGTGGGGGCAACTTTTATCGTGGTGACCAAGGATACGGAGGGAAGAAAGGTGATGCGCGGCGGGGCACAAGTGAAAGTGCGGGTTGTGCCCGGGGTTGGGGTTGGGGGATCGGAGCAGGATGGGATTGTGAAGGATATGGGTGACGGGACTTACACTGCCACTTATGTGGTGTCAAAGCGAGGGAATTACATGGTGAATGTGGAGTGCAATGGGAAGCCAATTATGGGCAGCCCTTTTCCTGTCTTTTTCAGCTCAGGTTTCCCCTCACTCGTTACACTCTGTAGTATGGGCTAATGTTCATATTCATGTGTGTTTTTAGGTTGTTATTATTCTTTGATGGATTGAATATTGGATGTCAATCTCTAATATACCTGAATGCATACGAGTCGAGTGTAAGCATGCATAAATTTTGTTACTGTAAATTCCTGTAGGGGTCTCCAACCTTACCATAAGCGTGGCAGCCATCCCAAAACCTTTCATTGGTGACACTCGTTAACACCGTGAGTGTATGTATAGACATTTAGACGTCTGACTAACCATGCACATGATATGTGACTAGAAGGGTAAAATTGTCAAAAAAAAAAAAGAAGAAGAAAAAGATTTCCTTTATTGAAAAAACCAATAGTGACTTACAACTTACATTAAATGTTGCTCTTTTTTTAAATATCGGATATCACGTGCCGACTGCGAGGTCATTTAACATCAAAATAGACGTTTTCATTAAGTGGGGATACCTGCGCAACCTACCCTCATGACTTCTAAAGTGGCATTTGTTGAGTTGCTGTTGATAATATCCTTAATCTCAAAGTTTTACTAGTTTGTGATTATTCAGGTTCTACATATGATTTCAACGCATTCTGTTTTATATCTCATAATTATTGTAAAGGCTTTTTCTCTAGCACTTTAATTATAAAGATTGTTTTGGTCTTTAGCCTGTCATACTAATTTTATTTATTTTAATGAGTACTCATTCTTGAGGAAATCAGTTGTAGATCAAAATAACATGTGATTCCTTTGTAGGGCATTTACATATCATATACTGATTATTGTGGAGAAAAATATACTTCTCTTATTTCTTGTCCTTGCCAACTTAATGTGAGGTTAGCATTTGTTGGCTGATGATGAAACCATGTCCATATCTTTGATCACATTTTTATACTGCCGAAGAACGAATTCTTTTGTGAATTTAAATAATAATTAGATGCTGTAAAAAGTTGAAATTTAGCATTTGTGTGATGTAGGAACTCCCACTGGAGGGCTTCTCGGCATGGCCCCAGCAGCTTCATTTTCGAATTTAGTTAATCAAACCATGCCGAACATGCCAAATTATTTGGGTTCTGTGTCTGGTGCATTTCCTGGTTTGCTCGGAATGATTCCAGGCGTTGTTTCTGGAGCTTCAGGTGGTGCTGTTTTGCCTGGAATTGGAGCTTCTCTAGGGGAAGTTTGTCGAGAGTACCTTAATGGACAGTGTGCTAAAACTGATTGTAAGCTCAATCACCCCCCTCACAATCTGCTGATGACTGCTTTAGCTGCCACCAGCACTATGGGAACTCTCAGCCAAGTGCCCATGGCACCTTCTGCTGCTGCAATGGCTGCTGCTCAGGCAATTGTTGCTGCTCAAGCCCTTCAAGCCCATGCTGCTCAGGCCCATGGTCAAGCTCGGCCCACAAAAGGGTCTTCTGGTAGGATCAGCCATCATGATTTTTATTTTTTTTGGGTGCTTCTACCTTAATAATGATGGCTCATATTAGTCATTGTAGCAAACATTTTCTCATTCAAATGCAAATATCTTTTTTTCTGTTAGATGTTTTAAAATATATCTACTTTTCGTTTAGATGTAGCCTGTGTTGTACGGACGTTTCAACTAGGATGTCATGTCCGTGTTCTACACTCATCGGATATCAACATTTCTCGAACATTTTACCATGGTCATTTTCTTTTTCTTTTTTAATGAAAATATTATATATTTTTAATTCTAAGTTATTATAAAATAACAAATGGGTTCTTGTATTTAAAAAATTTCAACAAGAAATATTAATAATAGGTATTAAACTAATTTTATATATAAATGAAGAATTTTTAAAAAATTAATTAACGTATTTTGTCAGACACATGCGTCTGTGCATCATAGGGTGTAGCAATGAACTGAACAAATACTCAAACATGATTCATGTAGCTAATCCCAGTTTTATTGGAATAAGGCTTAGGTTGTTTTCGTTTTTCGTAACTTTGCTTTGGTTCATTCTTTGCATCTGGTACTGGAAATGGTTTTTGCATCCCACTTTAGTACTTACTTAACACTCGACATTTTTGATCTTTTTATTTTTTCCTGAAAGCATTTTTTATTTGGATTGCCATTAGATATTTAGTGCTGTTGATTCGTTAGAATCGTCCACATTCTTAATTATTTATGCCTGTCTTCTGTCAGGGTCATCTGACGAGGAAAAGGCTGACTCCCTGAAAAAAACTGTGCAAGTTAGCAATCTCAGCCCACTTCTAACAGCAGATCAGTTGAAACAGCTCTTTGCTTTTACTGGCACAGTTGTTGACTGTACTATCACTGATTCAAAACACTTTGCTTACATAGAATACTCAAAACCTGAAGAAGCAACTGCTGCTTTAGCATTGAACAATATGGAAGTTGGAGGACGTCCATTGAATGTTGAAATGGCAAAATCGCTTCCTCCAAAGCCTGTTTTAAATTCACAATCATCTTTGCCGATGGTGATGCAGCAAGCTGTTGCCATGCAACAGATGCAATTTCAGCAGGCTTTGTTAATGCAACAGACACTGACTGCTCAGCAGGCAGCTAATCGAGCAGCAACCATGAAGTCTGCAACAGATTTAGCTGCAGCTAGGGCTGCTGAAATAAGTAAGAACTTGCAACCTGATGGAATTGTCGCTAAGGACAAGGAATCAGAAAGAAAATCTAGGTATGTTGCATTTATTGGTTCCTGAGATATTAGTTCAATATTTTCCTTGACATCTTTGATGGTAATTTGATTAATGCAGCACTCAAACTTTTGAAACAATGTCATAATTTTAGGTTTTTGCAATATGCTTAGGCCAAAAAAAGGTTGTCTGGTAGTTGTTTAACATAATTTTGAAGAAGTGCCGCAGTTTCCGTATTATAGCTTCTGCTTGAACGATTACACATACGTAGCAAATACGTAGCAAATTCACTTTGTTCACTAATACCATTTTCTTGGCTTGCAAATTGAATTGTTAACGTTAACATTTAATTTCTGCTGCTCCTCTATTTGACTATGTATTGTCAAATTATGGCTGGAACAGAATCCCCTAGTAGTACGCAATGATTAAATTCCTAAAGTTGTTTGCACAATTTGCCGTGTCCTACCACTGTGCATGCTAGAAGCTTTTGTCATCCAGAGATGCTCATATGTATTTGCTCTTGCATATCTACTATATTTAAAAATAAAAAGGAAGAACATTAATTGCAATATTAGAAAATATATAATTGCGTGGATTTTATGTGTGAAAATTGGAAAAAGAACATTTGGCATGACTCTAATCTTTAGTATTGTTTCATTTAAGTAAATGCTGTATTATGGTAAAAAATCACTCATCTAAAATGAAAACGAAAGTTGTTCTTTTGTGTACTTATGATGCTTCCATTAATTCTGGATAAATGTTTAAAACCAGTTTCTTATTTTCAAGCATTTTTTCTCTGCTTTCCGATGCATGGACTAGTTGAAAAACAAAAAAATTGCATTTGAATGCACCATTTTTATAATGATTTTGGTTCAAAAAACATGAAGTATTGTTGAAAACAGAAAATTGGTATTTGGTTTCTTCAGTAACGAGGACTATAATTCTACTGCAAGTTTTTTTTTTTTTTAAATGGGGCAAAAAATGTGATTTTAATTGCTAAACTGATGGACCTATGAGTCATAAAAGTATGAAACTATTTTTCGGACTTATTGTAAACCGCTTTATGTTCTAGTGTCTAAAAACACTCTCAGGTGTGCCGTAGATTTTTTTCCCTATGTTTAGACTTGTTCCAGGAAAATTCATTTGCTTGCACACTTCCTCTTTCGGAATAAAAATTTAATGTCTCACGTCTTTGTTGTTAAGTAGTCAACTTATTTTGGTTTCTAACTTAAGTATGGAATGCGGGATAGTTTTGGAGTTATCTCAGTTTGGTAATGGGTATATAAACCTTGAATCTGTGGATTTCCTTTTTCTTTTTAGTTCAATTCCATAATAGATGGTTAGGCACTTAAATCTGGACGATAACCTTTTCCTATATCCCCGCTTCCACTCCTGCTTTGAAATTATGATAAGTTATGAGCTAAGAATGTTTCTTTAAAGAACAATTAAAAATTTGTTACAAGGCCATCATGTAGGTGACCATTAATTTTGGCTCTGTCTAGTGCTGTTTTAAAGTAGAAAGTCCTTATGCTATATTTGGCATTATTACTCAGACCTGAAGAGGTATGATAATACAATTCTTTTGGATATCATTTTTGTTGACTTGTGAGGTCCACATAAAATTTTGGAGGTTCCTTGTTAGATTTTAATTTAGAGCTTGTTTGGTAGTAGAGATTAAAATCGGATTAAAATTGAAAAATTAGTCGTTATTGTTGACTTTTATTAGACGAGTTGGACTCAATAACGGCTATATTTTCAATTTTAATTGAATTAAAATCCCTCATAAACAAGCTCTTAGTGTACAAAATGGATTAGTTTTGCCTATTGTTCTGTTGCTCTGGGCTGTAAATCATATACTCATATTCAAGCAATGTTGCCATTTTATTATATTCTATGGTATACACCAACAGCCACATTCCTCCACACCTGCCTTTAAAAGGAAAGAGAGGAAAACCAACTATCCTGAGACACGCATGAAACAATAAAACTGGAAAACAAAAGATGCATTACATGCTTCAATTAGACACAAGAATGTAGGCTTTTTCTTGTGCATGCTGGCAGCTGCTTTTGCTTCGCTAAATCTTTTCCTTGATTTCTATGTGCGCTCTGTTACTTCAATCATGTAATTTCTGTTTCTTAGTTCCAGTTGGAGCTTCCTCATTTTGTTGATTCTTGGCTTGAAATGTACATATATTAAATCTGCAAATTCTTTACTGATAATGTATTAGGTCACCGTCTGCTGATCATGCCAGGCCAAGGTCCAAGTCAAGATCTCCTGTCGGTTATCGTAGGAGTCGTAGGTCACTCTCTTTCTCACCACCACCCCGCAGAGCCAGAGATTATAGATCCAGATCACCAGTAAGATCTCACCATTACTCTAGCTATGAAAAAGATCGGAGATCCTTCAGAGATGGCAGTGATAGAAGGAGGCAACACGAATCACATAGATCGTATGATCGCCGCTCTCCTTTTTCCAGGAAAAATAGGAGTAGGAGTGTGAGCCCTCGAACTAAGAAATCAAATCGAGATGATTCAGAATCACCACCACGCCGCCGAGAAAGTCCAGCAGAGAGGACAAGGAAATTAGCTCGTGCTGATTCAAGATCTCCTCGACATCACAGGAGAAGGTCGCCATCCTCAAAAGATGATGTAAGCAGACCAATACATAGAACACGCTCTAGGTCAAGGTCTGTTGAATTTAAGCATCAGTCTAGTGATAAGATAGATGATAACAGAGAAGAAAGTTCCATGCATCGGGTTAGGAGGCGCAACAGATCAGTGTCATCGGAGGATCAGAGTCACAGACAAGGTAAATTATCTGGAAGAGCTTCAGATGAAAGCAAATTGAAAAAACACAGAAGACGTTCCAGATCCAGATCTGTGGAGAATAAATATAGCTCTACTCATAAATTGGATAGGAGGAGAGGAGAGAAATCGAGACACCATGAAACAAGGCGGTCCAGGTCAAGGTCCACAGAAGGAAAGCGACGTAAATCCAGTAAGACTTCTCCAAAACGGTCCGATGATCGCAAATCCAAACACCGAAAGCGCTCTAGGTCAAAATCTGCAGAAAATAATCATAATATCAATGATATCGGTCTTGGGGTAAGTAAAGATGAAGATATAAGTGAGACGCCCGTGAAATCTAAAGATGCCTATGTGGAAAGTGATACCAACTTGAAGAATTCCATGACTGTGAAGTTTGATGAGGATGGAAGTTATGGAGGTTTGCAGAAGAATTCCAATGAGATTGACAATCATTTCGAGAGAATTGATACCTCAGTGATGGAATGAAGGTGTATTGAAGAGAATATGCATTGGTGCTTCTTCTTGAGGTCTATGGATTGGGATAGTCAATTTTTGAACCCAGTTTCTGGAAGAAAACCATCTCTTAAGAGATTGCTTGTTCTCTTTTGGCAATCAAGATGATTAGATGGTTTGTTACTGTTCAAATGATAAATGCATTCTTCTATTTGTTTCTTTTGCAGGTCCTATGGGTAGCAAAGTTTGAAGCTGTACTTGATATGGTTAAAACCTCCAATCTCAGATCCAACTGTGCCTGTTTTTAGCAAACTTCTTAATGAGCTTGATGTATGCTGGATTATAACCTCTCTATCAGTAGGTAGATTTTTTTTCTTATTTGTCAGTCTACTCGAGAACTTATGACTGCATGTTCTGTTATCGTGTGATTCCTAATTCTGCTTCGGATTCCATTTTCTCTGTTAAGCTGGATGATGTTGACGTGATATTATGATTCATCTCTTTGACATTTTTCATACTTTTCTTTTTCTCTTTTTTTCTGCTAATCTTGAATAACCTAAACTTTGAAGGAAGAAGATTATGGAAGCATAACTAACGCAAAACCTGCTCTAAGTTTGTCTGGATAAATTTATTTTATTCCCTGGAGTCAGATAGGTCTTGTTATGGTTTGCCGTCACTTTTAACCTAATGGATGATTACTTCTGGGATTAGTGGTTTCTCTGACATGGTTAAAATGGTTCCTCTTCCAATTTTCATTTAATGGTTTTGGTGGGCCCGTTACATTCCATGAAGATGCAGGTGTTGAGGCTGGTCTCTATTGGCGCTTAATCAGATGAATTTGCTGGGTCGAATTTTAACTGATAGTACGTAAAAGGTATGCAGCGGTAGATTTTAGAAGTTAAACCACTGGATCTTTTGCCATGCTTTTCAACAAATATTTGACTTGGGAGTTTAAGCTGAAAAAAATTGGGTTGCAAGAAATTACTTGAGAGATTTTAAGCTTGTTAATATCTATAAATATTTCCTTGCTCTCTTCCTCATCTTCTATATTTCTTCTCTCTTTTCCTTTTTTTTTTTTCCCTTTTCCCCACNTCTCTTTTCCTTTTTTTTTTTTTTCCCTTTTCCCCACCTCCATTCTCTGTTTTTTTCCTACTTGGAAGTTGTTTGGTTTAGGCAAGTCTCCATAAAGCTGACTGCTGCAAGATGTTCCTGCGATGGTTTAGCATCATTTTTCCTCCTTGTTGAGTGTGAGCAGATTGGCTAACTTACTGTTCTTAATTTCTTGGTCAAAGTAATTTGTTTTTCATACACAGGTAGTTTTTTTGGTTCAAGCATTGGATTTTGGCTCTATCTAGAAAATAGTTTTTATAGAAAAGAAATGGGGAGCCTCTTCATTATGCATTTGTAAATAGCTATTATTTTTAGTACTATTGAAAGCTAGTTTATCTTTGTGATTTCTCAGTTTCAGTAATTTTCTGCAGTCCTGCCTATTTAAAAGGTTTGTTTGTTCCTTTGTGCCTAGACAAAGGTGGTGATCCCACTGTTACAATCTTTGAAGATTGTTATTCTACTTTGACCTTACCCGCATCCATTAAAGGTGGACGCGCCAAAAAAGTTCAATTCCTGAGCAATAGGCTAAGCTTCTCCAGTAGTTAATAAGTTCTCAAAACGAACCATGTTCTTTACTAAATAAATAAAGGTTAAAATACATTGGCAGTTAATCAACTTATGGCGAAGTTTAGTGTCAGTCACCTAACTTTGTCCTTGTTTGAAGGCCATTATTTTGAAAAACAATATTTTGAATAGTGATTTTTTGGAGAATGTACGGTAAAAAAGTGAAAAAAAGTTTCGGATTTCCATGCAAAATTTTTTATTGTGTGATTGAAAATGAGTATGTGGATTAAAGAGTTCAGCAATAATAAATGTCTAACAGGGGCTTACTTTTGTTCAAAAGTGGAACCGAAGGTTTTTTTTATTTGTTTCAGTTGACTTGGTTTGTTTTGGAAAGGAATGTCCTACCTGGAAGACCCTCCATGTTGATGCCATGTCAGATTCCACTAAAAACTAAAGGTCATTCTGTTAAAAAAGCTAAGGAACTGTTCTCATTGTGTTTCAGTTGTGTTTTGAGTTTTGAATTCATTTTGGATTTTGTGTTTTGAGTGTCCATTTTGAAATTTTTGAAAATGTGTTCTTTTTGCCATTTTGAAAACATCAAATACGCGTTTTAAAATTTTTGGTTTGATTATAATTGAAAACACCCAAAACGACAAATTTGTCGTTTTGGGTTTTCTTTGTAAATTTTTAACTTGTTTTCAAAAACACGTTTTCGAAAATAGGAAAGAGAACGCGTTTTCACTGTTTTGAAAAATCGAAAACAGAAAACTATTTGAAAATGGTAAGGAGAACAGACCCTAATGCATTTTAAGCGAGCGACTAAACTAAACAAAAGGCAAACTTAAGTGCCCACTTTGGAACAAAATAAAGTTCGGTGACTGAATGAAACTTAGCTATAAATTGAGTTACTAACAGTGTTTTTAACTCATAAATAAATATTTGTTAGTCCTTAGTATGTGAACTTTCTTGAGATTTCACTTCTACTTCTTTTTGGAACATAAATTCCTGTTTACACTAGTATATATGTAGCACGACCCTCAGATGTATAAGCTTTGGTAATTGTGTAATGATTTCCATAAAAGATCTGCTGAACATTTGATGCTATTGAAATATGTCATTTATCAAATGCTATTGAATGAAGAATCATGCTCCCCTTAGAATGAGAATTAAAAGACGGTTCGCTTTATATACTGTGGGACTCCTTAGAGAAAGCAAGATAGGAAGAATATTTATATACTTGCAGCTTGCTACGGATCCAGTCAAGTAGCTACACTATACTTATCACTTGGATTCAATCCCATTGGTTCCTTCACTTGTTAGAGGAGGTGTTTTCATAAATCTGCTCCCTGTGGGGGTAGTTCAAAGCCTACAGATCCAAGTGAATCAGGGAATTCTATTGAATGAAGAATCATGTTCACTTGGAGATAACAGCACGTCAGCACCATAACATCTATAATTTGCTTGTCACTAGGGAATATTATGGTGAAATTTAGTCAGGCAGTAGAATTTCGTTGAAAAGCATGCAGAATCTGGTATTAATTGCTTCGAGCATGTTTGGTATAGCTTAAAATCCAATTAAAATTAAAAATACAGTCGTTATTGGGTCCCACTCGTATAATAAAAGTCAACAATAACGGCTAGTTTTTCAATTTTAATCCGATTTTAATCTCTGCCGAACACGCCCTTCGTATTCATTCTAGTTGTTCCAACTTTTGTCTCAGACAGGTGTGGTTTTCCTAGTGAAATAGACTCTTTTGTTTGAGGAAATGTATAGCTTGTCTTCAATTATGCTGTGCGGGGACTAGTGACATTTATGCATTTGGACCATGAAGTAATAATTCTGCCTACTTTATATACTATTTAAGGATAGAGCACATTGGTTTTTAAGCATGGTTTCTTTTTCTTCCTGTTTTGAGTCTGTATCCTCACTTCTTCCACATCATTTCTATGATGTTCTCTTTACAACTTTCTCGTCCCCTCCGGTTAACTGGATATGGTGCCCTTTTACTTTCTCTTTGTTCTTTAATTGTCTTTCACTTCTGTTATTCTTTTTTCTCTCTTTTTTTTCCCCTCTTCTTGCCTTGTTTCTTCTATAGGAGAATTTGGTCAAGAGGATGTGCTGAGCAACAACTACATGGGGATTGTTGCCCCTGTTTGTGGCCAAAAGTCACTACTTGGAACCAAATATTGCTGTTAAAATTCAAATACTTTTAATTAAGATTGTATTTTCATGTCTCCCATTGTGACCTCTAATTATCACTAACTTATGTTGGAAAAGGATACTTAATTAGAATTCATTTACCTAAATCATATGGCTTATTTTTATCAATTATGAAATATATCTACTAGTGAACATTTTCCTACTTTGATCATGTTAGAATCAAGGGTGAATTGCATATTTAGTCCCCAACCTTTCATGAAAGTTGGGATTTTGTCCCTGACTAATTTTTTGCTGCATTTGTTTTAATCGACTTTTAATAAAATAGCAAAAGCCAGCCCCTGTCTTCACCGTTTCTGTTCAAATCAGGCATTAAATCCAGTGGCTGCACATGCCTTTTAATAAAGGGCCAAAATAGTCTGGTCACTAAAACTCATTAAAAAATAAATATAACGAAAAATTAAAAGAAAATAAACTGAGATAAATATATGCCCCAGTTTTCTTTATTTCTTCGCATATTAATGTGATTATGCCCCCGTTTGGACCACTTTTTTATCTCATTAATTTGAAAAATATGATCGTTATCCATCACATCAACATATAAATTCAAATTTTCGATCTCTTGTGTGGGTTCCAATGACGACTATATTTTTCATTCTATAATAATTTGGTTCAAACAAAGTCTATATATATCTTCTATATATAAAAAGTGTCAATGAAACGGAAATTCTTATTTTAACGGAAAATCTAACGGAATGGGTTGTTTTAACGGAAATTTTTTTTTCACCGTTAGTTTTATTGTTTTCGTTAAATAGCAATTAAGCTGCCATCTGTGGCTATTGATGTTGTGTCTATTGGAATTCCATTATCTAATAATAAATGAATGCAAAATGTAAAATGCTTTGTACTACTACATTTTACTCACTAGGAAAAAATTAAATTAAAAAAACAAAATGGACGTGGAGATTATCAGTTTAAAAATGCTAATAATTTATTTGGTAAGGTACATTGAACTTAATGAAGAAAAAATATTTATTTATTTAATTTTGTATTGTAATGTTATCTATTATTTTATTATGTATAAAACGTTCATGATTAAGTGCAAAATTTGATATAATATAATAGAAAGAAACACGAACTTATACATTTTTTTGTCTTTACACTAACATTCATTCTAAAAATTGATTATGGTTTAATGTAGAAAGCAAAATTCTGGATATAGGCGAAAATAAATGTGATTTTGCCCAAATATTTTATTACATGTCATGCGTTGACTGTAATAAATGAATTAGATATAAATACAATGAAAATTTCGTTTGTATATATTGCAAAAGTCAAGGGGTCTGCAAACCACGGTACGTATCTTACAATTTTAATTTAAAATTGATGTTTGATTTAATGTAGAATTTAACACTATTCAAATTAAAATTAATATATTCAACGCATTTAAAGTGCTATGAGATATGTTGAACTGTATGATAATACTGAAAAACTAGCTGCTACTATGTTTGGTGAAGTAGCAAAACACGCACTTGGTTGTTCAACAGTTGAATTAATGGAACAAGTTGGAGAGGCATTTCTTAAAATTTTCTTCAAAATTTGATTTTTATTATAATGAGTTATTAAAAAAATAATTGAGTTTTTTTATTAATTATGTAAATATATTCAAAATTTATTTTGTAGGAAAATCAACCATATGTTAAAACCGTTGTAGAGAAATTATCAATAAAAATTTGGAAGATTTAAGTTTATGTAGATCCAGAGAAATTAAATGAGAAGAAATATAGGCAATTTAATGCCATCTCTTGTAAGATGAGGAAAATATTGAATCGTTATCTTAGAATCAAAAATTATCTCAAACAACTTTCATAAAATCATGAACGATGTTTATTTATATGACCATGCTATAGATTCTATTAATGCTCTTTTTTTAATATATCACAATGTGTAATTATTTATCAATTACATAAATATTACACCATTAGTTATTTAATTAACCAAAAAAATTACATCTTTATTAATAAAAATTAAACTCTTAACCAAATAATTATATATAAATTAAGCAAACGTGCATTGCATGTTGTTTAAACCTAGTGTGTGTGTGTGTGTGTGTATATTTTTGGTATGCAATTGTCCGGAAGATGTTGGAAATTAGATTTTCGTTTATTCTAGATGTTGTGATACTTGTATAAATGTATTGATATAAACTACTAAGGTGTAATTTTAAATCAAGTATTAATTTTTTTCGGGAAGGTTAGTTGTCATATGTTGAAACGAGACTTAACGTTAACATGAAATTTTGCTCCTATTTGGTATGGATTAAAATTCAGATTTTAATCTAAGTCTAAGTAATAATTAATTTTAACTACATATTTTATAGGATATATAATTTTTCAACAACGCAGTTTATTATTATTATTTATTAAAATCTACTAAAAATTTAAATTTAATCTCTACCAAAATGGGGCTTAATTTGTTCGTTATCAAAGTTTTGATGATTGACAAGAACATGGTTTAAAATGAAAACTCCGTTTGATTAATGACAAGTTCTTATCAAAAAAAAAAAAAAAAAAATGAAAACTCCGGTGGAGTGAAAATAAAAGTTGTAGAAAATGAAGGACAAAAGTGAATGGGAAAAGCCGTTGTTTGTCCCAACTTTTTCATCTAAAGATTAAATATGTGGTTAAAATTAAAATTTAATCGTTCAAAATTTGATAAATTTTAGCTAACTTGTATAAAACAAGAATTATGTGTACATCCCAAATTTTAGAGAGATGAGATGTGCAAGTTTGAGAACTCGATAAAGTTTCGATATAAACTTTCTTCTATCGATAAGTAATCACCTTGTACCCTAAATGTGTTACTATTGGAAATATAGACACATTTCTTAATTCGCCCACAAAATCCTAATTCTAAGAAGACATTTAGAGAGGAAGAAATAAAAAATACCTACAAATTAGCGCACAGACGCGTAGAATGTTCAATTGAAAAATGAACGTCAAATTGCATCGATGGTTTGAATAAAATATTTTGTAAAGTTGATTCTAAATTAAATTAAAGTTCGATGACCAAGATGATGCTAAGTGAAACGTTCAGTACCCATCTGTTAAATTAATCCCAATAGTGTTTTTCTCAGGTCCGTTAAAGTGCATCTGTGAAGCAAATGATACACTCTTAATACAAACTCAACAAGAGTGGCATAAACCCTAGCCGCTCTCTCCTTAAACCCTTCTCTTTTTTCAGGTTCCGTCTCTTTTGCTTAAAACTCCATAAATCTAAGTTTTGAAAGCGAGCTTTATGATTCTTGGTTTTACTTGTGTTTTTCTCAATTTTTCTGTATGTATATGTTTGTTTGGATTATTTTTATGTAAGTTATTTTCTTGATTTTTCCTGTAATTTTCCGCAACTGGGTTTCTGTATTCCAATTTTTCTTTTTCCTTTTCATTATTCTGTATCTGTATTTTTTCTGGGTTATTTTCTTGTTATCTTTTATTAGTTTCATTAGAAATTGATTTGAGGGGTTGATGTATCTTATTATCTTTGTATCTTCTGAGAATCTGAGGTATTATTATTTCTCATTGATGAGTTATCTTTATATTTCTATGTTTTGATGTATACTCTTTAGAAAAATAACATTTTTTTTTACGTTTCTGTGCGTTGTCTTGTGCATTATCTCGTGTTTGTTCTGCAATTTGAAAGTTGTGTAGTGCCTTTTGGGTTTAGTGATTTTGTGAAGAAGATTATTTTAGGATGTTGCTTGGTAATGTTGTGTGAGCTTTCTTGATTTGAAGATGGTGAAGGTTATATGTAAATTCGTTTCACCCTTTGTTCGTTTGTAATCTACTGTTCGTTGCGCGTCTGCATTTCCGTATATCAGTTTATGCATGTATTTATTTTAATTTAGGTTTTGGATTTTATGTGCTAGAGGATTTGGGGTTTTGTCAGATTTACGGTGTAAATATCTGATTTAATTTGGTTATAAGTAGCTTGATTAGTGAAAAACCTTAGAGATGAATTTATGTTTAGAACTAGGCACAGATGTCACATTATATTTGATTTACTGTTTCTTTTGCCCAGCAAGGTTTTAACTACTCTGTTTTCTTTTCAAATTGATTTAGATGCTTAAGACTTTTATTTATTCTTGCAGGTTATTGTGCAAATGGCATTCTGCAGCAAAATGGGAACCCTGCTGAGGCGTAGCATCTCTGCCTCCAACACGTTGCACGGGCAGACGCCAATGATTAATGCCATTCGCTGCATGTCTACCAAGCTTTTTATTGGCGGTATGTGCCTCAAATACGTTTTTCGAGTGATTTATCAGCGTTCTTTAACAAATTTGTTTTGTGCACTGTTGGAAATTACACATTTTCTTTTGATAGGACTTTCATATGGAACTGATGACCATTCGCTTAAGGATGCATTTTCTAGCTTTGGTGATGTTGTTGAAGGTGAGTTATGTGTCATTTCATGCAAGACGATGTATAGATGAATTTTGTGTTAATTTTAGCTAGTTGGATATTATTTCAGACTTTTTTCTCAATTTATATTCCATATTCCCAATATTCGTACGAATCAACAAGTTTTTGTTGAATGTTTTGTTTTATGGCGTTCTAAAAACGTTGAGCCTTTTGTTGAACAGCTAGAGTTATTACTGACAGAGACACGGGAAGGTCAAGAGGTTTTGGGTTTGTCAACTTCTCGACTGACGAATCTGCTAATTCAGCACTATCAGCCATGGATGGACAGGAACTGAATGGAAGGAATATCCGAGTTAGTCTTGCCAATGAGAGACCACCTCGCAATAATTTCGGTGGAGGAGGTTTCCGTGGTGGATATGGTGATGGGGCGAATGACGGATATTGAAGCATTCTCATTGCCTGTATATTCAATGACAAGTCTCTTTATTTTCCAAGTAGAGATGCATGCTTGTGTTTGGATGTGCTTTTAGAACCTTTTCACTTATTTGGTGTAGGGCGGATTGGATTAATCTTGAACCCAAGTTTTTGTTTGCTATGAATACTAGTTTCACTTTTGCTTCAATTTGTATTCATTATCAGCCTCAATAATCGTGCTTAGATGAATCTCTGTTTAGAAGAGCATCGTCTTGCGTGGCATCTTCCCAATTTTAGTATCATGTATTGGGTGGTTACGGTATTGATCCAGCCCATGTCTGGATTTGTTAAAAATGTAGGAAAAAGTTATGGGAAAATGTGTGATACTTCTTCTTTCAAGCCTTTGAAAACATTCACTTAGTTAAGAAATGTCAAGTCTCTGTGGACCTTGAGAATTTTTATGTGTAGATTGATTCGAAAACGAAAAAAGTGGAAGAGTGACAAAAAAGAATTGTAGATTAGGATATGAAATTGTAGAATAAACATTCAAAATTTCACACACTTGAGACCACAGCAACTTTTCAACAACAAAAGGAAAAAAAATAAGAAGAAAGAAATGCATTTCAACAAAGCAAAGTAATGAAAGAACTGATAGAAAATACGGAAATTATTTCCCCTTCAGAGCAAAAGTTCAATGAACATTTTAAGGGAAAATTTATGATTTAATCAAATCACAGAAAAGTACCAGTAATAACTCTTCAATACAAGAACCATCTTAGTCCTTGTACTTCATCTCAGACATCAGGAATCCCGGCATGTCAAAAGAGCCTGAAAACTTCTCGACATCAGCCTTGAGTTCCTCGATATCTTTGTTGTTCACTAAACCTTTGTTGAAGTCCTTCAAAAGCTTTCCGTGCTCCTTCTGGATATTCAAAGTTATGGTCACAGCCCTGTGGAGGAATTCAGCAATTTGCTCGAAGTCTTTCTCGACCAACCCTCTTGATGTCATGGCAGGAGCACCTACCAACAGGAACACTTGCCACTCAATCATCTCAAGAAAAGGGAGCGTTAAAACAAATCGAGATAACATGAATTGAGATATGTAACTTCTATCTTTAGCGTCACACATCAGGCAAGAAATCAGGATCAAAATTTGCCAATGAAGCAAATTTAATTTACTTTTTCCTAATCCTTTTATATGCATGTTCTGGCAAATTGGCAATGTCAACTTAGATATTGATCTAGAAGCATGGACCAGATATTTCGAAGGCAAATCAAGAAAAAAATTTATCGACCGATTATACTTCCACTTCCAAGAATGTAATTTATCAATATTTCTACTGTTTTAGCAAATCAATGTCAACTGAACTTCAAAAATCTCTAAGAAGTATATTTTCTGGCCATTGCCTGAAGCAGTCAGTTTCTTACCAATGCGAACCCCTCCTGGAGCCAATGCACTGCTGTCACCGAACACGGCATTTTTGTTAACAGTAATGTTGCATAGGTCACAAAGCTTCTCTACCTTGTTCCCTGCATAAAGGTCAGATGTTCGTATCAATGAGATTATTAACGCTCAGTTTATACTAGGTAATTAATTCAAAACGCCAGTACCTGTCAATCCAAGAGGGCGAAGATCCCACAGAACAAGGTGGTTTTCAGTTCCACCAGTGACAAGCTTGTAACCTTTGCTCATGAGATAATTTCCAAGGGCAACTGCATTGGCCCTGACTTGCTTGGCATAGACCTTAAATCCAGGTGACATAGCCTGTTTCAATGCCACGGCGAGAGCACCAATCTGGTGGTTGTGAGGACCACCCTGCAGAGACGGGAAAACTGCAAAGTTGATCTTGTCCTCAAAGTCATAAACTGCATCCTCAGGCTGGCCCTTCTTGGGTGGCTTCGGACCCTTCCTGTAGAAGATCATACCAGCCCTAGGACCCCGAAGGCTCTTGTGAGTGGTAGTTGTAACTATGTCACAATACTCAAATGGATCTGCAGCTTCCTAAACCCATTAAAATCAAAATCAAGATTGTTAGACAATTCTGCAGAAGAACGAATTTTCAACATTCTATTTATATTCAGTATTTAACACCTTTTTTTCAAATAACCTTCACAAACTTAATTTCAAACAGAATTTCATACACAATCAAAAGAAAGAAAAGATCTCAAGGATTTACAACACTCGATACAATAAGATACTCGAGATGGGCTTCAGTCCTTAAAAATTATGAATTTCAGTAAAAAAAAACTAAGAACTACGCCATAATTCCGATACAACCAAGTTTAACATTATTGTAGGCATTGATCTAGTGCACGTACTATAATTGAAACAAGTACAAGATTGATTGTTAAGGACAAAGCAACCAACTTATACGTATGTATTTTTAATTTTTTTTTTAAAGATCAGTATATCTGTATCAAGTCCCAGCAAATATTCTGATTCTACATGGCAGCTTGAATATCACACAATCAAGAAGAATCTTTAACAATAAAAGGGCAGCAGCAATGCTACAGAATTAAGAATAGAAATGAGAATTCTACAGTAAAAAATTATAAAACCAAAATCCCACAAAAATCGAAAAGGTGGGAAAAAAAAAGCCATTTCACATAATTGTAAATCATTCAAGAAAACAACTGAATACCTGAGCAGCAACAAGCCCACTGATGTGAGCCATGTCACAAAGCAAAAGCGCCCCGCACTTATCAGCAATTTCCCTGAACCTCTTATAATCCCAATCTCTAGGATAAGCACTCCCCCCACAAATAATCAATTTTGGCCTGAAATCCATAGCCTTCTCCTCCAACCTATCGTAATCAATATACCCAGTTTTCGAGTCCACCTTATACGGCAAGCTCTCAAAATAGATCGAAGTGGCACTAATCTTCTTCCCACCAGAAGTGTAGTACCCATGCGTCAAGTGCCCACCAGATGGCAAGTCAAGCCCCATAATCCTGTCGTGTGGGTTCAGCACAGCAGTATACGCGGCAAAGTTTGCCGGGCTACCACTGTACGGCTGCACATTGACACCCCACTTGGTGGGATCCAGACGGTACGCCTGGAGTGCACGGGAACGAGTCAGATTCTCGATCTCGTCAATATACTCGTTGCCACCGTAGTAGCGGTTTCCCGGCATGCCCTCGGAGTACTTGTTGGTTAATGCACTGCCAAGTGCCTCAATTACGGCAAAGGAAGTGAAATTTTCCGACGCAATCAGCTCGATTCCGCGACATTGACGGCGTTTCTCCTTCTCGATTAGATCGTGGATTTCTGTGTCGATTGTGGAAAGTGAGCTGTTGCCCCAAGCTGAGACTGGATCCATTTTTCCTTGATGGAATGGGAACTGGAGGGTTGGTAGAATAAAATGGGTGGCAAAGGATGGAGGAGAGAGGAGGGCACGAAGTAAAGCTGTGGGGTTGGGATGATATAAGAAAATTTAGGGAGATGAATGGACGATAATACCCTTTGGTAGGTGCTTTTATTTGATTAAAGTTTTTTATTAGAGAAGTATCTCTTCAGTGGTCCTTTTTTTTTTCTTTCAAAAATAATATTATTGCTATTTAAAGAAAAATCAAAAGATTGATGCTACTTCAAACTCTGGAAATCATCACCAACTGATAAATAACATTATTCAAATTTTTTTTATTAAAGATTAGTAATTGGATAATAAGGTTAAAAATTCAAAGGATTATACTATTTGTCCAGAAGAGGACATCCAGAAAGTGTGCCAGAAAATGATGTGTAGCGAAATGATTGCATGAAAAAGTTATTTGTATTTTAAACTGTCCAGTGATAGAGTGTCACGTGACATTATGTAACCCATTATGTAAGACTTGATGTACATGTAGCAATGTCCAAATTCAAATATCTATTGAACATTGCACAAAGGGTTTTTCATTGATCAGTAAATTTTAAAAAAATTTCGGATAGTCATTGAACTTCTAAAAAATCGCTGTCCCATCCATCACTCAATAACTCAACGTTACAAATTTTGACAAACAGTCTAACGTGATGAATGATAGAACCGTTTAAACAAACTAAAAATTAATCACGCTTCAAGAGTAATTTCACGATTTTTTGTGTAATTAATTTGATTGTCATAAACAAATTTAATAAAAATTCTTGGGTGTAAAATTTATTTTCTAATTTTTACTTGTAGCATTTTTTGAACCAGACAAAAATTTCTTAGAAAATCGTCGCTTTTCAAGAGAGTTGAGTGATGATATCATTGCGTCAGTGGGTTGGTAAAAGGTTGTTGAGTCAAGCCGAGTGGTTGAGGAGCAATTTGGTCATTTCAAGTCACCAACCACTGATTTTGACACCATCCGCACTTGGCTACACACACCAAATAATGACTTTGTTACAAAGAATCTGTCGCATTCCGAGCGAACTTCAATTTTGACATACGTTCGTATAAAATTATAATTTACTAAAATTAATTTTTTTCAATCAAATTAAATATTAATTTTAATCATACATATAGTATGACTTAATAATATTCATTTAGAAAAGTTACTAAGAATTTTATCCGTACATTCTATATCTCAATTTTCACTTCTTTGTCACCTAGGGCATGTTTGGCTAAACTTAAAATTCAATTAAAATTGAAAATATAGTCGTTGTTGGGTTCCACTCGTCTAATAAAAGTCAACAATAACGGCTAGTTTTTCAATTTTAATCCGATTTTAATCTCTACCGAACACGCCCTAATTTGTGAAACTTTAGCGTCCGCAATAAAAGAGGGGTTGACATATCGAAAATGACGAAATAATGATTAATTTTTCAATTTTAATCCGATTTTAATCTCTACCGAACACGTCCCTAATATATCCAAAAAATGATAAAACCGCTCAATTCACAATCACGTCATAGTAAATCTTCCACATAATCTATGCATGTCACATCATAAAAGTGTTCAATTAGAAAAACATATTTTACTCAAAAAGGATATTTTTATTTTTCCCAATGAACCATATAGCTTGAGATCCCAAAGCTTAACCTAACTTTAATTTTTTCTTTTAACTATGAAAGTCAAAACAATTGATAGAATATAAACACCATGAGAAAAGAGAGTGTCTGCCAATTTACATGTAACTTCACAATATTAAGGGCGTGTTCGGTAGATATTAAAATTGGATTAAAACTGAAAAATTAGCTGTTATTGTTGACTTTTATTAGACGAGTGAGACACAATAACGACTATATTTTCAATTTTATTGAATTTTAAACTTAGTCAAACATGCTCTAAAAGTGTACAATAATATCTCACATAATTTATCTATTCAATTATGCTACATGATGATCTCAATATTGGTCTAGGCCGAGGACGGGGCACGAGGATAATTTTTCCAAACTTGTGTCGCCGTTTCGTTTCTTCCTCCGGCATGCCTCCTCGGGAATGACTCCTCGGCCACTGTGCCTCCATCGAAATCATAACTAAACCCCATACCGTGTAGCCCTCGATTCATTAAGACTCTCCCCCGTATCAATGTTTATCCAAACCTAAAAGAAAGAGTCTTATTGTTAGTATGTCACATCATCCTGAAAGGATTCTATCATCGAAATTCCACTTCTATTCAAACACGTGGGTAATACAAAACAAATTGAGTTGCAACTTCCAATTATGTTAGAACTCCTAGGAATTTCAATGTTGTGATTCTACTAGGAATGTACTACCTACTTCTATAAATAGATCATTCAAATTCATTATCAATATATATTTTTCACACAAATTTCAGCACAAATTTCTTAGCAAATTCTCTCTCTGACTTAAGTATCGAAGGGGTGACGAGAACACACATCGACGTCTTTGTTTCAGGTGCCAAAGATCTCATTCGTACTCATTCTTAATCGTCAAGTTCGAAAATCAACATGTACTATTTTTTGTAGCATCACTACACAAATAGGCTAAAGGGCATGTTAAAAACAGGAGGGACACGTGTCGATACATGATTGAACAGTTTGAAAGATAGAAAAACACCCAAATATACACTGCCAAGTCAACCACTCTGCTTTTTATCCGTCTTTGAGCATGTTCGAGTGGCAATATTCTCATCTATTTTGCCAGGAGCCGTGGCAATGCCAGTTGGCCAATTGACCCCCTGTAATAGGTGATGGAAAAATTGGCCATAGCAATATAGCATGGCTCTATCCCACAACATCTATGTAACAAATAAGGACTTAAAATTGGCCAACTTGATACGGATGGTACCAAAGAGCTATGTCACATTACTTGATAAATCGTATATCGATTAAATATCGAAATACATATCATAAGAGCTTGACTATCCCTCCTCGTTTGATTTTTTTGAATATGAAATTTAAAATCTTACCTATGTCTAGTTGACCCACGTTGGATTGTCTTGAGTTTACCTGCATGCCACCCCGACTCCATATATATTGTTTAGTGCATCACTGTTGTCCTGTCATCGTCGACCAAATGAACTGCACTCAATAACGTTAATACAAATAGAAAAATAAAAAAATATCACAAAACTTGTTTGTAATTTGTCAGCCAAGTCAAAGGCATTATTCGTTTTGTTGTTGTAGTATTAAAGGTGGGATCGTGCACCGCATGCCCATTAATTTAATTTGTAAATGCATATTCCATTTTTTAACATAGAAATGAGATATTATTGTCGTGATCACAGACTGGCTGACAAGTTGACAGCTAAAACTCATTACAATAATTTCTAGAAATTGAATTATTTTTAAAATAAATCGTATTTTCTTTTATTTTACATGTGCTGAATGAATTTATGATCACATAACTGGACGAAACCTAACCTCGGTTCAGATTGCTTAGACCTGGACTGAGTATTAGGTCATGTTTGGACTCTATTAAAATTATAATTTATTTTTCTCTCTTCTTATCAATCACGTCTAAAATTGCAACAAGTCTTCCAAACCTCGAAAATGTCTTTCTTACCTGTAATTAACCTCAAACTAATTTATTCGTCGATAAAACGTGCCGTTTTTCTTGGAGTACAATTTGGTCTTAAACTTCTAAAAAATTACAGTTCAGCCCAAATGACTTTTTAATAACAAATGACCCTTCTAATTGTTAATTTCCCTCATAAAACCACAATTTAAATTTAATTAAATAAACAATTATCATGAAATATCAACGTGTTACATTATTTTTCCTTTAAAATTATTTCATCCTCGAAATTTCTTATTAATAGTCGAAGAGCTCTAAATACTTGATCGTAACCTCATCTCCTCTCTCCCAAATGAACTCTTTAATGTTGTGATGGTGCCATTGAAATGAAATGTACTTTACCTCAAAATTTGAACCTTCCAACCAAAATATCTGCATAAGCTTATTCATAAATAATGCGTGGGAAGATTTCCTAAGTAAGAGGTTTAGTTTTACCAATTTCAAATTTAGGAGATTATTTTTAAAATTTCAAATCTTGGATTATTTTTAATTTTTTTTATAAATTAATTAATTAAACATATATTTTATTAAATAAATATATTAAGATCACAATTCTATATAATTTGTTCACAAATTTCATATAATTGGTCATATATTATTAATTTGTTACAAATCACAAATTTTACATATCACAAATTATTTTAATATCACGATTCAAAAATTTTATAGGAACAAATTTCAGATAATTGGTCATATATTATTAATTTGTTACAAATCACAATTTTTATATGTCACATTATTTTACGGTCACAATTCAAAAAATTTATATGTCACAATTTGTTCATCAATCACAAATCAAAAATTTATACGTCACAATTTATTCATCGGTCACAAATATATCAAATTAATAAGTTATATATTATTCATTGATCACAAATCATAAATTTTATATGTGACATTATTTTACGGTCACAATTAAAAATTTTCATAGGTCACGAATAAAAAATTTATACGTCACAATTTATTTATCAGTCACAAAGTGTGTATAAGTTACATTTCATTTATCGGTCGCAAATTATCGACTTATTTAAGGGATGCAAATTGTCAAATTAATTGGTCAAAAGTTATTTCGCAGTCACAATCACATATTTTAGGTCACATATTATATATTTGTCACAAATTATTCAATTTATTTGTCACAATCAACCAATTTATTGGTTACAAACACTATTGGTCCCACTTGACCGTCGCCGCCACCAACACCATGACGCCACCGTCGTCGCCACCACCTCACCACTGCCAACAATGCAAAATCCATTACCACACCAGCGCAAAGGCTTGCCTCCGCCAACGCCACCACCACCACGACGTCATCGCCACCACCAACAACTTTCAACTTCAAAACTACAATTTTCAACTTCAAAACCACCACCAACAAACCACCATTTTCAACTACAAAACAACCAACACCCGCGCCACCACCACCATCACCCGCACCGCCAAAACCATCGTACCATCAATGTCATGGCAAGTAAAAGCAGTACCACTACCTCCTATACCAAAAATCACAACCACCACATCCACCGAAATATCCCCAAATTCGTTGTCCCCGTTGCCACTGCACACGGCGGTGCTGTAAGCATGCGAGGCCATGACATAAGGATGCGAGGCCATGCACACAGCGGTGCAGTGGTGTCGCTGCGCAGCGCTCAACGGTCGCACGGTACCGTTGCAAGATAAGCGGATTGGCGCAGCCGCGACGGGTAGAGAGAGAGGGATGCCGACTGTTGTGAGAGAGAGAGAGAACTGCGCCGCAACGGTAGAGAGATAAGGATGCCGACTACTGTGACTGAGCCGCGAAAGGTAGAGAGACGGATGCCGACCACTGACTACCGTGAGAAAGAGAAAGATGGGTTTAGAGATGTAGAGAGAGAGAGAGAGATGAGATGGGGAATTAATTAGGATTTGAGATGAATTTTGTGGTATTAATAATATTAAATATTTGAATTAATTTTTGATTTTTGAAATTGGATTTTAAAAATTCTGGTTTGATGATTTCATCGGTCACAAATCGAAAATTTTATACGTCACAATTTATTTGTAGGTCACAAATCTATCAAAGTAATAAATCACATATTATTCATTGATCACAAATCACAAATTTTATATGTGACATTATTTTACGGTCACAATTAAAAAATTTCATAGGTCACGAATAAAAAATTTATACTTCACAATTTATTTATCGGTCACAAAGTGTTTATGAGTTACATTTCATTTATCGGTCGCAAATTATAAATTTTATCTGTCACAACTTATTTAAGGGATGCAAATTGTCAAATTAATTGGTCAAAAGTTATTTCGCAGTACAACTTAATAAATTGTGAGTTACAAGCACATTTTTTCGGCCACATATTATATATTTGTCACAAATTATTCAATTTATTTGTCACAATCAATCAATTTGTTGGTTACAAACACTATTGGTCCCACTTGATCGTCGCCGCCACCAACACCACGACGCTACTGTCGCTGCCACCACCTCACCACTGCCAACAATGCCAGGTCCATTACCACACCAGCGCAAAGGCTTGCCTTCGCCAACGCCACCACCAACAACGTTCAACTTCAAAACCACCACCAACAAACCACTATTTTCAACTACAAAACAACCAATCGCGCCGCCGCCACCAACACCCGCGCCACCACCACCATCACCCGAACCGCCAAAACCATCGTACCATCAATGTCATGGCAAGTAAAAGCAGTACCACTACCTCCTATACCAAAAATCACAACCACCACATCCACTGAAAAATCCCCAAATTCGTTGTTCCCGTCGCCACTGCACACGGCGGTGCTGTAAGCATGCTAGGCCATGACATAAGGATGTGAGGCCATGCACACAGCGGTGCAGTGGTGTCGCTGCGCAGCGCTCAACGGTCGCACGGTACCGTTGCAAGATAAGCGGATCGGCGCAGCCGCGATGCGTAAAGAGAGAGGGATGCCGACTGTTGTGAACTGCGCCGCGACGATAGAGAGATAAGGATGCCGACTACCGTGACTAAGACGCGAAAGGTAGAGAGACGGATGTCAACCACTAATTGCCGTGAGAAATAGAAAGATGGGTTTAGAGATGTAGAGAGAGAGAGATGAGATGGGGAATTAATTAGGATTTGAGATGAATTTTGTGGTATTAATAATATTAAATATTTGAAATAATATCTGATTTTTGTATAAATAAACTTTATATCTGATTTTTTAAATTGAATTTTAAAATTTTTGCTTTGATGTAATTACCACATCACACGTTGCTAAACTTTTAGTGACCAATGAAACCACATGGCTCTATTCAAAACAATTATGCTATAAATATCAAACTAGTCATGGCCATAGTCACTCAAGAGGTGAAGGCACAATGTTGACAAGTGATTACAATAACACCACGAGCGAAAATGTACCTCGTCTGCTACAAATATAACGACTCAATATAAATCGACTCAATTATACCTATAAGTGGGAGAAATACTTTAGCTGGAGAGTCATGCACGCACACGTGATACAATTATCTACTCAAATCACGATACTTCAAATCTAGAATTACTCAAATTAAGACATCTCAAACATCCAATTGATCTATTAATTTATTAATACACTTCGTTTGTCTCTCTTAATTTAAATATATAATCATATAAAAAATTTTGCTAAGTGTACAATTCATGGGTTATATATTGCCTTACATTGTGTGGAAATTTAAAAAGTATTGGGCAAAAATGTGTCTTTTTAAACTGTTTAATCATGTATCGATATGTAACATAATGTAAAAAATGATGTAAAATAAAATATACATGTAACATATTTATCATATCAAATGGGTATAAAATCGTCCTAGAAATATCCAAAATGTAAATCGCATCGCCAAAACGATAATAGTTAATAAAACGATTTTGGGTTGCCCCGTCCCTTCATCTTACCTTAGGCATGTAGGTGTCCCCCGCTGGCCCCCACCCTCATCTTTTACCAAATAAATCCCTGATCCACCAAACCCTCAAAATCTGAACCGTTCATTTTACCATTTCAACACTATTAATATCCCCTTTCACTCCCATTTATCCTTGCCCCGCTCTTTATACTTTCTTCTTGCAAAACACCAAAGAAGAGAGAATCAATGGCGCTTCTTGTTGAGAAAACCACCTCTGGCCGCGAATACAAGGTCAAGGACATGTCCCAGGCTGATTTCGGCCGCCTCGAGATCGAGCTAGCCGAGGTCGAAATGCCCGGGCTCATGTCTTGCCGTACCGAATTTGGCCCTTCACAGCCCTTCAAGGGAGCCAAGATCACTGGCAGCCTTCACATGACTATTCAAACCGCTGTTTTGATTGAAACCTTGACCGCTTTGGGCGCCGAGGTGAGATGGTGCTCCTGTAACATTTTTTCAACTCAGGACCATGCAGCCGCCGCCATTGCTCGTGACAGCGCCGCCGTGTTTGCGTGGAAGGGTGAAACCCTACAGGAGTACTGGTGGTGTACTGAAAGGGCACTTGATTGGGGCCCAGGTGGAGGACCCGATCTGATTGTTGATGATGGAGGAGATGCCACGCTCTTGATCCACGAAGGGGTGAAGGCCGAGGAGGAGTATGAGAAAACTGGGAAAGTGCCCGACCCGAATTCGACCGACAACGCGGAGTTCCAGATCGTGCTTACGATTATCCGAGACGGGCTGAAGTCGGATCCGAAGAAATACACCAGAATGAAGGAGAGACTCGTCGGTGTCTCCGAGGAAACTACTACTGGTGTGAAGAGGCTTTACCAGATGCAGGCTAATGGGACTCTGCTTTTCCCTGCTATTAATGTCAATGACTCTGTCACCAAGAGCAAGGTATATTTATACTATTACATATCTTTTTTAATGAATTAGATCTGAAGTTTTTATTAATCTTATACGATACTTCTTTGAGTTCAGATATGAAGCTTGATCTACTGTATAGTGTTTGTATTCAGGATAATTCATTAGATCCTAGCTTAATTTAGCTGTTGAATTTTTTTTTATCTGATCTGGGATTTTTATGCTGGATCTGACATATTATTGTTTTACACGATGACATTCACGATTCTTGATTGAGATAAAGTGATTCTTTGGATATCTGGGTGTGCTTAAAAGCTACTTTTATGTGATAGCAAGGAGCCAAGGATAGCAAGTTTTATAACTTTGAGAATCGTGTGTTAACAAAAAGGGTAACTGAAAATAAGTTTGATCTTAAATTCAGCCAAACATGCTCTATAAGTGAGGAAATCATTTCGTTTCATTCTATAATTTGTGGAATTCTTTAGATGCATATTGGATACTGTCATTGATGATTGTAGTGTGTATTTGGTGTAAAGTGCTATATATTTTGTGTATATCAGTTATTCCAAGAAACCCCTCACAATAGGGGGGAGAGGGGAGTTTTTTATTTTATTTTAATTCATATGAGTCCTGCGTGGGCCACAAATTGAGAGGATATCAACTAGAGTGTCAAATTTGAATCATGCTGCAGTTACAGACCCCCATGTCAGTAATCTGTCATTTTAACAGAAGGAATAGTTCCGTACAAGTGAAATTATCCGTTAAATTTTTTCTAGCAAAATGGTTTAATCCTAGAAACATATTCTTATTTTATCTTGATTGAGTTATATTTATTCTTTAGACGTGGGTCATGCTTAAAGTTCCTTTTCTTGACAATATGGAAAGCAAGTTTTATAATTTTTGATTTGAAAATCATGTTTAAGAAAAAGAGTAACCTGAAAAATAAGTTTGATTACTTTTAAATGCAGCCAAACATATGAGGAAATAATTTCATTTATTTCTATAATTGTGGTGTCCATTAAGTGCATAATTGATACTGTCACTGATTTCAAATAATTTCTTGTAACTGTATTAGGAGTGAAGTGCTTTTTATCTCTGGTTGGTTAGTTATTCAAGACAAAAGCTTAGAAACATATTCTTAGTATCTTCTGCATTTGGCAAATAAACATACAAATGATAGTGTTTCTTAATATTACATAAACCAGAAATAGAAGCTCAGATCTCAAGTCTGTTCGAAAGTCAACTGTGGATAAATTGCAATGTTACTGTTGAAATATTAGCTTGTTTGATCATGTTGAATGCTGATTTTCTCATAATTGAAGTATCATGTGATAGTTTTTATAGTTCACATTGTCCTGTAATTTCATGTTACTGCATTTCTTTATACATTGACAATGATGTCTGACCATTTTTGTTGGATCAGTTTGATAACTTGTATGGATGCCGCCACTCTCTCCCTGATGGACTGATGAGGGCCACTGATGTTATGATTGCCGGAAAGGTTGCTGTTGTCGCTGGTTATGGAGATGTTGGCAAGGGCTGCGCTGCTGCCATGAAGCAAGCTGGTGCCCGTGTGATTGTGACTGAGATTGACCCCATTTGTGCTCTCCAGGCTCTCATGGAAGGTCTCCAGGTTCTAACTCTCGAGGATGTCGTCTCTGAAGCTGACATCTTCGTTACCACCACTGGTAACAAGGACATCATCATGGTCGACCACATGAGAAAGATGAAAAACAATGCCATTGTTTGCAACATTGGTCACTTCGACAATGAAATCGACATGCACGGTCTCGAGACCTACCCTGGTGTTAAGAGGATCACCATCAAGCCACAAACAGATAGATGGGTATTCCCAGATACAAATTCCGGTATTATTGTCTTGGCTGAGGGTCGTCTCATGAACTTGGGATGTGCCACTGGACACCCTAGCTTTGTGATGTCATGCTCTTTTACCAACCAAGTGATTGCACAACTTGAGCTCTGGAACGAGAGGAAAACTGGCAAGTACGAGAAGAAGGTTTATGTCTTGCCCAAGCACCTCGATGAGAAGGTTGCTGCTCTCCACCTTGGGAAACTTGGTGCTAAGCTCACTAAGCTTACAAAGGATCAGGCTGATTACATTAGCGTTCCAGTTGAGGGTCCATACAAGCCTCCTCATTACAGGTACTAAGGGGGAGTTCTACCTGGGGGGTGTTTTTTTTGAAGTTGACATGTCTGGAGAAAAATGGTCTCTAGTATGGTACAATAAGGTTTGAACAAGGGCTGTGTGAGATGGTGTAGCTTTTGGTTAACATTTGTTTACAAGAAAATGAAAAGAATTTTACAGCTTTTCACAATTTACTGTCTTACCATCCTACTTGACGTTATTAAACTCTCACAAATTCTATTAATTTTCTAGTAAAAGTAGGTCACTACAATTTTTGTCCCGATCTCTCTTCTCTAATTGCTCTCTCATCTTCACTGCTAATGTATGAAAGTGAGCTACCTCAAACTTGAGTAATCAAAAGAACTAGCATCATGTATATCCAGTTCTTTTGCACGAGCCTTACTAGAGACTTATTTTAGCGAAATATATCATTTCAAAGATAGAGAAGAAAGACCAGGACAAAATCTGAAGTGCATAACTTTTACTGCAATAATTAATTCATTCAATCATGTTATACTTACATCATCTTTTACATCGTTGTTTACATTGTGCAATGTGACAACACACCATTGAATAGTTTTTTTTTTAAAAGCACTTTTTCCGCATACAATTTGAAATGTCAAAGTTGATGTAATGGAATGTACGTTTAGCGTTATTTTAATTCATTAGTCAGAGAGGTATTTCTCCGGGAAATGCTAAAATTAGGAAAAAAAAATAAAAAAATGGTACATTGACGAATGAGTACTCGTCATTGCGCGTCTATTTTGTGTGCATTTGCCGCCTTAATTGTGCAATCAACTCTGCAAAAGCATAGCTAGTTTGCTCGTTGAGCCAAAATGTGTTGAAGGACAGTGTAGTTGGGTTAAGGGGGTGTTACATGGGCTGAATCGAGCCGAGCGCTCGGCTCGCCCACTGTGGAGCTCAGCTCGACCTACCATGCAAGTCGACTTGCTTCACCAAATGTAGGTTTAGCTTATTCAACTAACTCGCCCCTTGGTGGAGTGAGCCGACTCTTACCGGAAATTCACTGCTTAGCTTGCACCGTTTGTTAGGGAAAAGTTTATGACACCTTATGTTCCCCATTTGACTTTTTCTTTGAGATGCATGGTACAATATACACTACCTTCCATTTTTACCCTTGCATTATATTTTCTTAACACGTTAATGGGTTGATGGTAATTGCGTAATTTTCATTGACCAGATGAGAGTATTTTGGTCCTTCATCTCTCAAAGGCTCCATTGATATTTATATGAATCTAGCAAATGTGTTGACAGTTTTCAATTTTTAAATGCACATGTTCCTATAGAAAAATGTGTTAACAGTGCCAAAATCTCATTAAAATGAGATCCAAACACATGCACAATTAGAGAGTAGAATAAACATGTAATTTAAAAGCTATAATGCTGCAAGTTGCTTATGCTATCTTCGGTGTCTTCTCTTACTAAGGGCAACATCATGAACTAGAGGAGAATTAGCTTCTACTTGACTTTCTCGGGCCTACCTTGTGTTTCTGCAGCTAAATTCAGAACAAAAATAGATGTTTTAACATGAACAAGCATCTAAATTAGTGGTTTACAGGAGGTTATGTATGCTTTTAAATGAACAATAGGTGCTCCTTTTCTGCTAAAAGTATTCCATCCAAAGATCTCATGTGCCTGAATAAGGTCCTCGTTATCTTTGATAGTCTGAGTTCTTGAGCTCAAGGTTTGAATTTCTTCGCTTTAATGATCTTTTGTTACTAATGACTAAGTTGGCTTAGTTGAAAAATATAGTCACTAGAACTAGCAGCTTCAGAATGAACCAATTTAACAATGAGATACCACGTTAGAGCATGAGTTCTAGTATCACGAGTGTTTTTTTGAAGGAAACAAGTACAAATTTGATCAATTACTCTTCCAGTAGATATAGAACTGTGTTATCAAATGGGTTGTTGGAGGGTAGTTATCAAGGTGGCACAGCTGAAGATAGTACAGAAGTAATATGGCGATTTCTCGACATTTCCCCATCAATTTTTTCGCTCTCAGCGATCTAATCTGTAAACTGGCACGTGGGATCAAATTGAGATGTGAGACCATATCCAGATAGGAAATCATACCCACATTTGTCCTACAAGGGATTCTTTAGTGATCTAACAACCTAACTGAGTTTGGCAGAATGTATGATAAGTCTCTAATAGAAAATGCTATGCCAGACTCCGGTCTACAGCTACCCATGAAGTGTCTTTGGCTCATGGACAAGTAGTCTTGTAGCACTGCACTTGGCTGCCTCGAACAACAGTGTGGTTAAGTCCTTCCACATAATATAGTTCTTTAATTTTCTGCAATTTTTGACAATTCAAGTGTTTTGCCTAGTTTTGATTTTGTTTTTCAATAGGAAGCATCAATAACTAGGAGAGCGGCTGATGCTATATCTATTGGATAAATCGGATTTTGAAATTTCGAACAAAATTATCAATCTATCTCCTAGTTAACTACCATGTAGAACTACATCATCTAAAAGGTTAAGACGCACAAATTTACGTAAGTCAAACAATCTTTTGATCAATCCTACAATCTTTGGAATAACAAAAAGGCAATAACTAGTCTTCCATGTTCTTCATGGAATCCTAGATCTTCTACTAATTAAGTTAAACACAGCTTACATTTAATGCTTCTTAAATACTTATCCAACAATGAAACAAAACCTCAAAGTTGAAAACATTTAATACAAAAGAACAAAGTTAAAATTTACCAATTTATTGAATTCTCCTGTAGCAGCATCTTCCAATGTAAAAAACCCAAGACTTGAAGCAACTAACCTCCCCTCGCACACCTAGTAATGAGCTCACAACCTCTGCTATAAGAATTAGCCACACCTTTACAGTTATAATATGAAGCCCCAGGCTTTGAACATGGCACAGTATCCCTCTTCAAGGTATCATAACTTATATACCTTTTCTGAAACACCAAAACCCTCCTATTACTCTCAGAATTCATCTGATCCTCTTCATCCACTGCCCTTTCTAGGCAATCACTGATCTTTCCTCCACAGACCCTTTTCACCATTGCATCTAATTCATCATTTTTCAGTGAATTCACCTCCGAAATTGACAGCCCATTACAAAATTTCATATGGGTTTGCAAGAAAAGTAGGGATAGTAAGAAGAGAATGCACAATTGATGCTGCATTTTGTGTAGTTTCTGCTTTTTGGGCCAAGTGGGCAAGTAAGATACACATTATTTTGGGAGAAAATGGGAGCCAGTGGAATTAAGAGTGATTGATGTGAGAATTTGCAGGTAGTGAAACACCTACCACGTTGCTCGTGAGAGTGACCCACCACCATTGGAAAATCTTTGTCAAAGTTTCCAACTCCAAAGGGGATGTATTTCAAGATGACTTTTTAGTGTAGAGTTTTAAAAGGAGAGATGCTATTTACGTCCACCATCATCATATGTTTATCCCTATTAAAGTTTTAAGACTAATTTTTTTTTTTTAATTCACGTCGCATTTGAATGTTATTTTTATTAAATTTATTCATCCAAATACTATAAATTCACACCATTTTATATATTTATCCAATTCTAAATTTATTCATATTATAATTTCATTTTTTTTAAAAAAATAATGCTATCTAACACTACTAATGCAATAACATCAGTTTAGGAGACGCTAGATGATACGTTCAATAAAATGTAAAAGTAAGTTATTTATTTAATTATAGGTCTCATTTAATGTCACATTAGTGTCACATAGACTGTTGTTTTAAAATTAGTGGTACTAAATAATAGTACTCAAAAAGAATATTATGCTCATAATCATTACATATAACATCACATTCTCACAATTTAACAATTAATTCTATAGAAGTAAAATTATAAGATGAGATTTCATAAATCATAAACCTTTATAATCACTGTCACCCTCAATGTGACAGACTATATTGTTTTATTGAAATTGAACATAATAATTTGAAAAGACTCGTAGCATTTATTTCATTAAATGGAAAAAAAATTGATCTGAGAAACTGGCATATTGCCGACACCATAAAAACATGACAAAGAGGCAATTATCTACAAAAAATTTAAAAACAACTCTTGTTTTCTTTGCTTGTCTTCCGTGGAACATCAAACACTAGAACTAACATTCCAAAAATATTTATATGAATTTCGAATATATTTATAATATGAAGTTCCTAAAAAGCAGTTGTTGATAGTACCTTTTGAAATATGTCATTCCTCACATCTTACAAATGTTACCACTATAGTGCACAACGATATTAGAACAAAAAAAATAAAAACAATCATGGTACATGTACATTATCTTTTACATTATTTTTTACATTTTATCACAGGGCAAAATATCATTGGATAGTTTAAAAAATCAAACAGTTTTCCCTTCAATCTTTTTTAACAACACATCAAATGTCAAAAATGATGTACACATCTAGAGCTTGTTTGGTACAGCTCAAAATCGGATTAAAATTGAAAATATAACCGTTATTGAATTTCACTCGTCTAATAAAAGTCAACAATAACAACTAATTTTTCAATTTTAATCTGATTTTATTCTCTACAGAACACGTCTAGAGTATTCTTGAAATAAAAATAAAATGAAATAAGAACAAACAAGATAAAAAAAAATAGCATATTCAAAACGAAACGAAACAAAAGACGGTGACACTAGAATAAAACCGCCTAACTAGGGAAAATTCATCACATAAAAAATAGTTCTTGGCCATGCCCATCACATATTTTCATCTCAAATGGTCTCTTTAGTTGAAGATATTTTATAAATATTAAGATTGTTAAATATAAATTCTAAAAAAAAAAATGAAAATGTCCAAAAGAATTTAATGAAAATAAATATTAGTTGATGAATTTATAGTCATATATTTTTATTTAATTTAATATATATCTTTTTAAAAGCGGATCTGTTTAGAAGTCTTAAAAAATTACATAATATTTAAAATGTTAATAACTTTTATTTACTTATATAAAATTCTTTTATTATTAACTTTTAAACATAAAGTACAGAAAATCTCTTATTCACTCCCAATTTTTTTTTCTTTCATTTAAATCTTTTAATATTTCTCTTTCTCCTTTCCTTCTATGAACCTTAAAAGACATCATAAAAAATAATATTTTTCTATCTCTTCAACCTATTATTATTATTATTATTGTTGTTGTTGTTGTTGTTGTTGTTGTTGTTGTTATCTTTTTTCCTCACTCACTCTTCTTTTTCATTATTTTCCCTTTTTTTTATATATAAAAAAAGTCAATTCATGAATAAAAATTCTTATAAGATTTTCTCTTCTTTGAATCGTTTCCTCCTAAGATCAATTTTTAAGTATAATGTCATAAAAATAGATTAATTTTGTAATTAATTTTTTATTTATTTGTTGATTGTTTAATTTAATAGCTTTTTTATAGAATTGAAAATAACTGACAATATTGGCATTTAGACTAAGAGCCACCGTAGCACTCAAAATGCATTAGATTAAGACTAGGGATGACAACAGGTCAGGGCAACCTCCCCTGTGTCGCCAAGCAATTCCCCTTCTCGTCACGCTTTTAAGGCAAGGCGGGTTGGGTCAGGCCGGGCCGAGGTCCTTGTCTTTAGGGGTGGACATGGGTTGAGTTGGGTCGATTTTTGCCTCAGCCTAAACCCAACCCAACATGATTGGTTTGATTAAAATTTAGCTCAATCCAACCCGTGTAAAGGTTGAAACCCAACCCAATCAAGTATCTGTCGGGTTAGGTTGAGTTGGTCGGTTTGGGACGACTTGTCAATAAAAATTAAAGTCATCCAATTTTTTATTATACTAAATTCGAATAGACAGATTAAATAGTAAGTAAATAAATAAATAAAATTATCTATTATCTTATTCAATCCTCATTAGCCAAGCCCACAAAAAACAAAGTGCATTTAACAT